CGTAATATACATCTGGACGGGCTTCCTTCATCTGTTCGTGAGTCCAAATGCCTCTCTTGCCCAATTCCATGAAACGTCCGTTGGGTCCAAGGAGCTTGAGGGACTCTGGGATGTAATCATCGACGAGGGTGTTCAGCACTACATCGATGTGCCCATCCTCCCCCAGAAACTCGCGCATATCCTTTGCAAACGATTTCGAGTCTCGGCTAGTTGTGATGTACTGGATTCCGGCGGACTTCAAGTACTCCTCCTTGACGCCCCCACTGCATGTTGCATAAACCGTTGCCCCTACCTTCTGGCAATGTTGTATGGCAATTAGTCCTACACCACCTGTTGCTGTATGTATGAGGACCTTCTCGCCTGCCTTCACTTGCGCGCGGTCCCCCAAGGCGTACTCTACTGTCACTGCTACCACAGGCAGTGCTGCAGATTCTTCAAAACCAAGGGAGTCCGGAGCTCGTCGAACAAGGTGGGCGTCTGTCGTCGCATATGTACGCAACGCTCCTGGTGCTATGCCATAAACACGGTCTCCCACGCGTACATGCTCTACTTCATCACCTACGGCCACTACAGTTCCAGAGAAGTCGGCACCTGGAGGCCCAGGGTCCCCAGGGTAGAGGTCCATAACGTTCAGCACGTCTCGGAAGTTGAGAGGATCTGCTCGTACACGAACCTCAACCTGGTTGTGCTCTGGTGGCACCCTAGCTGCAAAGGCTTGCGGTCTTACCACCAAGTTTGAAATGGCACCTCTCTCTGGCATGTATAACTCGAGGGCTCCTCGAACAGCTAAGTCGCTTTTCTCGATCCTTGCTGCATATAAAGTGTTTCCACGCAGCATCAACTCGTTTTCAACCGACGTTGCCATGCTGGAACGCAGGAAAGTTACTACAGCCTTGGCAATGTCGTCATCTTTTTCTAGAGGGGCAATGTCAAGGCAGCCAATCTGCGTCGTGCTACCAGTGGAAACTTCAATCTCCAGTCGAGCCGCCTTGGCAAGGCCCCAAAGGCCAGCATGAGCAGGAAGGTCGGGTTGCGGAGGGGTTTGCTCTTCCTCTGTTGGAGCCTCCATAATGTCCTTAGTGAAGAACCACATTGGGGGAACAGTGACCCCATTGTTTAGCAATGCAGCATACGCCTGAAGTAGGCGAATTGCTGCCTGAGGAACATCTAGAAAGGCATACTCGTCAGCTGTCAACGCCTCTACAAAGGCAATAGCCCTCCAGCTGCCGCTTGAGAGCAAATCTTGGACTTTGGGCCTTGTTGACGGGATATCTTCTACACTCAGCACCCTGCCGTAGCCCTCTCCGCCTAGCGCATTCGAAAGTGCTTCCATGAGTTGCAAGCTACCCCCGAGTACCAGCACAGGCCACTTCGTAGCTGCGTGATCCAGTGGCTGGGAAGTCAGTTCTGCTCGCTTCTCCCACCTAACCTTCCAAATAAGGTCTCTTGGGATGCTTGCACCTACGCTACCCCCAATATCAACGTTTCTAAGCGCGACTCTCTCAAGCGCGGCGACGACTTGCCAGTTGTCGTCAAATATCCGAACATTCACAACCGCCGATCGTGATCGGCATTCCAGAAGCTCTACATGCGCCCAACAGCCTGCTTTAACTTCCAGCTTCCTTAGCCATATGCTGCCAGCCCCAACTGGGACCATAGACACATGAGTCCCAGAAGCGTGCCGCCCAATAAGAGAGGCCGAAACCTGCATAAAGACACCACAGGGACCGTTAACCAAGCCAAATGACAGCCTTATGCAGAACGCGCACCCTGAAATCTGCGTATACTGCACCTAAAATAGAGGGCGGCCACTGTTTGCCTGTGCTTACATGAAGCGCTCCATCAAGAAGGGCAGGATGCACTAGGAAGCCGCTCTCAAACGAGTCCTGTTTGCAGCCTTCGGGTAGCATCAGACGAGCCAATGCCTCTGACTCTGACCGCGAAATACTATTTACGGAGCGGAAACGTGGTCCATATTGAAGACCTAAATCAAACAATGATTCGTAGAGCTGGCTTACTGAAATAGGCTGATTACACCGTGCCTGCAGATCCTTCAAAGATGGCAATGCTTCTTCTTTATTCTGTTCCCTAAGCACAACCCGGGCGCTGCAGTGAACGTTTGTTTCATCGTCCCATACGCTGCTAAGCTCGACACCGAAGTTTTTCATGACGTGGCACCGAATCGTCATTTCTACATCTTGAGGGACAACTTGGTCATCTGGCAATCCCCAGCGGCTTGACAAAAGGGACTGCGTGACTTCTTCCAACTCCGCTTTTAGCCTCATATCCTTCGAACGTGCGTCCGAGGACGCTAGCTTCGGAGTACTCTCCTTACTGCTGACCGGTGAAACAAGCCACGCACTTGGGGCGAGAGAGGGACTTGCCAACCCCGGTGTTGAGAACCCGCGGGATTCACTGTCCGCCCGTGGTCTGCGAACGTACGCGTCATTAACCCTTCTTGGAGTCCGAACTGTTCGAGGGCTGAGCCTGCCACAGTTGCGATTGCCTGTTCGGGTATTGAACTCGTATGTAACGCGCTGGGAGCCAATCAACATTGGTCTCTCGAAAAAGGCATTTTCCAGTGCAACAGCTCCAGAAGGGGTCTTCAGGTCGAGCGCGAATGCAGCACTGGCAATAATTTCGGCCATACCCATGGCAGGCATCATGGCCTTCCCGTTAACCATGTGGTCGGCGAACAATGGCACGGCACGGCGAGGAAAAGATGTCTCAAACAGGAAGCCCCCATCCCCAAGTTCTCGATGTTTGCCAACAAACGGGTGGGGAATTTGTACCCACGGGATAGGTTTCCGGCGGTAGAGCAATTCATCCTGTCCATGTAGACCATGTTCCATTTCGAGCTGCTCACCAACCCTATCAATAACCTCCAGGCACTTTTGAACAGGCGAGGTGTGCCTGTCACTTGTATCTTCTTCAGCAGCTGGGAACGCAAACACCCACTCAACGTCCTTGGCCATTTCATCTACGCTCTGCTGACCCATTCTAATTAACGCTGCCCGCCCGTTAACTTCCACAAGCAGCTTGCATCCAGCCGAGACAAGGTTGCTGATACACTGGTCGAGTCGCACTGTCCGTATCAAGTGTCGGGTCCAGTAGTGAGCGCTAAGGACTTGCTCATCGCAGAATTCCCCAGTTGTTGGGCAGATCATCTTTACGGTAGGACGCGAGAGCTTCACACCACCGATGATACGAGCAAGGGGAGTGACGACGTCAGACAGGAGGGGTGACGAGAAGCCCAAACGATCAGGTAGGTACTTGAATCGGCCAGCTATGTCGAGCTTCATCAAGACGGATTCCAACTCCGACTGGACCCCGGTTAAGACTAGCTGCTTCTGACCGTAAACTAGAGACATCGCAACGGATGAGGTGGAGCCTGCTGCTCCCCCAGCCTCGGAAATAGCCATTTCCACGTCCTTCTCGCCCACTCTGCATGCTACGGCTACAGCATCAGCTGGAAGGAATGTCTCCACAAGTTTGGCTCTTTGGCACGCAACCCGTAACCCGTCTTCCAAGCTCATGACCCCTGCAATGGCAGCTGCAACGAATTCCCCAACGCCTACCCCCATAACAGCATCTGGATTGACTCCCTGTGCAATGAGGCTGCGTCCGATAGCGTATTCGAACGCAAAAAGGGCGGGATCCGCGAAACGTGTCTGCCGCAGCCAATGATGCGTTTGTTGGCTGTGACCCCTCTCAGTGGCCTTCGGTGTGTCTTTCTCGGAAAAGAGGATGGAAAGAAGCGGGACGCTAACAAGACGCTTAAGTATATCGCCGCAGTCGTTGAGGGCCTTTGCGAAGGCAGGATCGCTGTCGTAAAGCACGCGACATTTGTGCAAGCCCTCGACCCCTTGGCAGCCGAACATAAAGCACACGAGTGTGGGCTTTTGAGCCTTACATGGACGCCTACCAACGCATGGATGAGGAGCCTCCTGCAACACCACATGCGCGTTTGCGCCTCCGAAACCAAAGGAACTAACGCCGCCAATCCGTTGTTTTCCCGTTGCTGGTGTTATTGGAAGCGCAACGACAGGGCACACGAACTTCGCACCCTTTAGGTCGATGTGCGGGTTCCACGTTTTAAAGTGTAAATTCGGAGGAACCTGTTCATGTCGAAGAGCCAGCGCGGCCTTGAGAAAGCCGGCAATACCTGCTGCACCCTCGAGGTGCCCAATGTTAGTTTTGACGGCACCTAAGAGAAGCGGAGAGTCCCTGCTTGACCTGAATACCGACTTAAGGGCGCCAATCTCGATCGGATCTCCCAGAGACGTTCCTGTACCATGTGTTTCAACAAAAAGCACTTCATCCGGAGACACGCCGGCGTTGCGGAGGGCTGTTCGAATTATTCGCTCCTGCGAGGGACCACTGGGCGCGGTCAAACTAGCAGCGCGTCCTCCATGGTTAATTGCTGTCCCGCGAACGATGCACAGGATACGACTGTTATCCTTCGTGGCCTCCGTCTGTGGTTTAATCACTATTGCGCCCAGCCCTTCCCCACGCACATATCCGTTTGCGCTAGCATCAAATGTCTTGCAGCGAGCATCTGGCGCCATCATACGAGCCTTGCAGAAGGCCACTGTAACATTCGGGGAAAGCATGAGGTTTACACCTGCCACCAGGGCAGAGGTGCAGCTTCCTGCTTTAAGCTCTTGAATTGCTAAGTGCAATGCTACAAGAGAAGACGAGCACGCAGTGTCAACTGTTAAGGACGGTCCCAACATCCCTAGAGTGTACGACAGACGGTTCGACAAAATCGAGGGAGCGTGACTAGTTGCAGTGAAGCTGCTGATTCCCAGACCCATTTGTGCACAGGTCTGCTGCCATTCGTTGCAGCAGCATCCTACAAACGTTCCAATGTTTGCCCGCAGCAAGCTGTCCTTGTCAAAACCACTGTCGTGCAGGGCCTCGTAGCCAACCTCTAGCAGCAGCCTTTGCTGAGGATCCATACTTGATGCCTGTACAGAGTCAACAGCAGAAAATGAAAGGGAATATTCTAAATTTGCACGCCCTCCTCTTAGTACTACGAAGGCATTTTCCTAGAGAAGGCTGTCTTGAGCATAGAGATCTGTACCTCGGCCAGAGAGATCCTGAAGAACGAGGCGTCGAAAAATTCGGCATTCTCAATGAAACCGCCTTCCCGGATGTACATTTTGCCCTCTGCATCTGGGTCGGGATCAAAGTAATCCTCGACATCCCATCTGCAACGCAACGTAGAAGACCGGCAGGGAATTTGCCCAGGAGCAAAAGTATTGTACATCGCTCGTGTTATTGAAGAGCCTGCGTAGCTAACGCAGCAACAACGTGGTTGAGGGTAAGGCAGGGTTTTGGCTGACCGTGAGCGTGGAACCTCCACCATTGCGTCCACGCCGCACATGAGAGCATCCCAAAATGAAGTAAGGGACGTGCTGCCTCCAGGCAGATTGCATGCGGCGCCCACAACGGCCATAGTCACTTCGGAGGTGTTAGTGTTAACCGTTAGTGCATCTTCGCCACCTTTTCCCTCTATTTCCCGCACTAGGAAGTCTATAATGTCTTCCATAGTCGGATAATTGAACATTAACGTTGGTTCGATGTCGATGTTCAACTTTTCAGACACGAGCTCCGCTAGCTCTACGGCAGCAATGGAATCAACGCCTAATTCATGCAATGGAGCCTGCATATCCGGCAACTCGTCGACCTCCCCAAGCACGTTCTTTGCTGCATCAATCACGGCATCCCTTACGGTCTTGACTACTGCCTCATGAGTTGGTCCGGATTCTTCATGCCCCTTGTGTGCCACATCGGAACTTTGGTGAGTACTTGGCTTGGTGGGAACGTGCGAAATGGCTCTGGAGGCGCTTGCTACACCTTCAGCTTGATGTGTATGATGGGTATATGTATGAATAACGCCATCCAGTTTGCCTTCAAGCAACTTGTCGCGGGCTAGAGACCTTCGAAGCTTGCCACTGCTAGTCTTCGGTAGGCTCCTGGGTCTTAGGAGCCATACTCTCTGCACACTGAGCCCTGTAGAGCTAGCGATCGCTTTACAGATATTTTTCACAATTTGGTCGTAGCTGGACCTATCAAAGAGTTGTCGACGGACGCGTGCCCAGACACCCCTCAGCCCGTCTTCAACACGCAATTCGGCAGCTAAACCCAAAAGTTCGTTTGAATCCGCTTCAATAGCGAATGCAGCTACGCATCCCGGTCGGACTTGCGGAACTTCTAAAACTGCTTCTTCAATATCCGAAGGGTAGTAGTTTCGCCCCCTGATGATAATTATATCCTTGAATCGACCGGTCACGTAGAGCTCTCCCTCGTGCATAAAGCCACAATCACCAGTGCGGAGTCCAGTAGCGGGAGTGCTGTTTCCTTGGGCATCTACTACAGCCACCCGGAATGTGATTGCAGTCTGCTCTGGCCTGTTGAAGTATCCGAGAGCAACGGATTCGCTGAATGCAACAATTTCTCCGACGTGCCTATCTGGTAGTTCTCGGTGTGTTTCGGGGTCCATAATTTTAACTGCACAAATGCAAGACAATAGCAAACCTTCCGTGTCTTTTGGTTAACTTATAGTACTGCGTTGAATTCACGGAAGACTAGCACGGACTCACCAGTGACACCTTGGAATGGAAAGCCGCAACTGACGACGTCTTGCACTTCGCCTGGAGGTTTTGCTGCTGCTTCTTCCGGAGTGAACACTTCCACAATGCGTTCAGATCGAAGCTTCAGAGCATTAACGTAAAGAACACTGGCGCTGGATTTCCAGTCTCCCTTGCCGGTTACAATGAGAGTGTGTTCAGCAAGACCGTATGCGGGAGCCACAGTCCGAGGCTGAATACCCTTTGGAGCAAATTTCTGCAGAGGCATGATAACACCGAAAACACCTGCATCCAAAGACAGTCTTTTACCAGGTGAATTCAATCACCCACTCAGTGCCCTGCTTCGGCGAACTTTTTTCTGTGTCACATCGTTAGTGCATGTGCTCACCTCAACGAATTGCTCCACGGTCTGCCGACGAACAGGCTCTGCGCCCGACAAGATACCTGTCACGTGGGAGAGGTCCAGCTGGTTGTACACGTTGTCAGGCATCTTGCGTGTCACAAGCGCAAACGCAAAATTAGGTGCAGCACTGCATACGCATTCGTACTGACTCAAGGCTTTCAACCACACCCAAGGTCGCCGAATGAAGTCGATTGGAGACATTTGGTAGAGGGCGGCCCCGCAAAACATTGGACAGCAAACAAAGCCTATGAGCCTGAACCAGCGACAAGCACGCGCCAAAAGACCAGCAATGCATGAAAGGCTTGAAACGGATAGCGCACCGTCCAGCTGGCTTTAACAGGAGCAGAAGACGTCGGTGCATCTTTGGGGTGTCTTGGCTTAGCGTGTTGAGCTGACTCTTCCGTTGTTCTTACCCCATATCGTGATAAACTGGTAACCAGGAGAACGCGCGAACCCTGTGTCCCCTTCGGGCCACAGACAGTGCATGCCGTCTTTTCCAAAACTCCTCAAGGTCGAAAAAGTCATAGTTGCGGGAGGAGAACTGCTCGTTAGGGTCTTTGGTCTCTAAATGGGTTGGGAACTCAAAGGAATGCCAGCACAAATGCATGTTGTGCAGCAAAGACGCATGCGTCACCATTACACCTTTTGGCTCAGATGTACTCCCCGAGGTGAACTGCACAGAGTTCAAGCCACACACCCATACCTCTGCATCTGGCAACAACAGGTCTATAGGTGTTGCCCGGCAGTACTCTACTGCAGCACCACAACTGCGGAAGAGTTTGGCGGTGTCCCGGCGTCAAGATTGAGGGGTTCCTGAACAATGTGCTAACCTGGAGAAAAGCAATGGAGTGAGGGTCCAGAGTCACAGGGCAGCGGGGAGCTGGAGCACTGTTCTTTTTAATGGAGTCTGTGCATATCCACTCTATTTCTTTCCATCGTTTCTCCCGCGAAACAACAGACATCGCCGCAGCTACACGGCGGTACGTCGTAGACGTGAGGGCCTTCTTCGTTCCAGCACTGTCACCAATATCGCAGAAACGCGGAATATCCGTCATTCCTTTTGTGGGATCTGGCGGGTAAACGGGCACAGCTGCAATGCCTGAAATAATACAGCTGTAAAACGCAACTATGAAATCTATTCCTGGAGGATAACACAAGATTACCCGGTCGCTCTGCTTGATTCCTATTTCATGCAGAAAACCCGCCAGTTGGTAAATCTGATCGACGAGTTGCTTATATGTCCTTATTTCGGCAACATCTCCCTCCCCGTTCAGCCATACCACAGCCTCTGCATCTGGTATTTCCTTTGCCCACTTCTCGAACGTCGTGGCGAAAGGGTTGCCACTCAACTTGTTCCACAATGCCTTGATGGGGGGACTCATGGGGCGATTTGGAGGACTTGTGGTTTCCGACGTGTCAGACGGCGTCGCGGTGGACGACTCTGCTAACTTCCCCTTAGTTTCTACCATTTTCGAAAATAGGTGCCGATGTATTCGACAACTGACCGGGAGAAAGAGCTCAAGCGTGACTAGGGGGAGGGCCGGAGAGCGACCTTCTCAAAATACAAATATCAATGCTGCACTCTAACACACATCCCAACAGGCACTTTTTGATATTGGCCGAAACGGCCTCCCTGCAAAAATGGCGTTTGGCCGACTGACTTGCGACAGAGCAACACCCGGGCAAAGTGCAGCACTTCGAGCTAATCGTGCCCGAACGAAGCCACCGGCCGAAGTGAGGGCTCTGGAAAGAGCTGAGAACAATGCTGTTGTTGTTTTCCCTATTGTATATGATGAAGCGCCCTCAACGGCACCCAGCTATTCTCGGAAATCTTTAGTGGTGTCGTACGCTGATGTCAGGCCGTGAGGTATGACGCTCCTCAGCCAAACCTTCGGGCAGTACTAGGCGAGCAAGTCCATTATTAGGGTGATGTCTGAGGCAGCTTCATTATAATCTGCTGTGTTTGACGGGTATCTAAATGCCCAACATGCGTGGGAGGTGTGGCTTGGCAGGTTCGCCCTACAAGTCCGGAGGTGGCAGTGGACGATGACTGGAATTTTGCGATTAAGCACACGACGACGAGTTAACTCGCATAGCCTGGAGCTCCAGGAAATATAAGAAGAATACGAGCACTAATGAAGAAAAGAGCACGCTAAAGAGGATCCTGAAGCCACAATGACTCGCCACCGCTGCTGTGTCGCAGCGCCCCGAGACGGAAACCGACGCCCTAACCGGTGAATTGGGCGGCAACGAGGTAGACAGAAGAAGCATAGGAGAATATTGAGGGAACTTTCCTCACAAACACTACGGAGGACCTTTTTAACGCAAGGAGAGGTTAGAGTGTGCCGCTTTCGCCAGAAGGTGACCCACAGAGCACACCGCCCGCAAGCAGGGAGACGTGCTGGTGGGAGACAGGTGGTCGGCGTCAGCAGTGTTGCAAAGCTTGGGACTGCCACGAATGTTATACTTATCTCTTTTATTCACGGAAGTACCACTGTCTTCCTTAACACAACTCTATTTTGCTCAGCGGTAGTTAAAAGTAGTCAAGTTCGCTCGGCTTCGCTCCACTGCCATCCAGCACTGGTCACCCCTGTTCATTTGCTGACCTTCGCTCATGAAATAGAGCACAACAGCAGTGAAACCATACGAATTCTTCTTCTTGAGGAGCAAAGGCATTTTTCCCTCTATAGGGACAAATGCAAAGTCACTAATACACACCTGTGGCGTTCACTGTACTCGCTGGCCACGGACCCGAGCGGTGGGCGCCTCACCGCCTCCAATATAGGGCAGATGCACGGCTGAATGGTCTCAGAAAAGCTGTCAGTTGTGCCAATTTGTCTCCTCTTTGCCCAGACAATCCATCACTGTGCAAAAGTGGCCAGGCGTGCGTGTGAGAGGAGCAGGATAACTCTACCCGAGAGGCAGATGTTTTGTATGGCGGCGAACCGTAAAATTGCACCCCAGAAAAAGTCGAGCAAGCTGTTAGAATCAGATATTTATACAGGTTAAGTAAACGCTCACCAGAACAGTTCGTCTCCCCTTCGTCGCTATGTCTATTTGCTACGCCCAGCTGTCATGGCTAGTTGCAATCGCCTCGATACAGAAGCATGTGTACCCCGGCTGTGTAGCCAGAGGGGAGATATTGGTCAGCACCGCAGTAGTTGAGGCTAAGGATATAAGGCTTCAACGACAGAAGAAAACGACAGTTAGACACCCTTCAGTGGTGGTCCTTCTGCTTTCGTAGGGATTGAAAGAGGAACCCTAAGTTGGACCTGGCAAGGCAGCCATATCGTACTGTGATAAGAGAAGCATAACATACGCAGGATAACCGAATAAGCAGCTGCAGAGGAAGTCACCTTGTAAACGGCTGCCAATCATTAAGGTTAATCAAATTCGAGCTTATGATTCTAGCCGCTATCGCTGCGCGTAGTGACTTTACGTCATTCGGTCGGAATACAGATATTCCTCCTTTTAAACGCAAATAAGGCAATGCCGGCTCTGCCCCTGTTCAAACTGGGCGAATCATGCCTCATCATTTTGGGTAAACAAACGGGTGTTGTATGGCTTGCGAACATTATGGAAGAATACCGAAAAGGGGTGCTTTGCGCTATTTGGCAGTCGCATAGGCAGTATTACGGATAGTTTCCTCACCGAAGAAACACACAGTTCTACCTACACAAAAATGATCAAGGCGCTGGCTCATGCACCACGTAGAAGAACCGACAGAACGTACCAAAAGGGCCGAAAAGAGTAATCGTGGACTGCACATCCAATATAAAATAAACATTGTTTAGAATCTTTAGTGTGTTTAGTCTGTTTCGGCATTACTTAAATAAAATGCACGCTGTTGAGGTCTTCGCCTCTTTGGCGTGTGGGACAACCTGTTCCTGTTCTTTGAGCCAAGCGGGTGTTCCCGCACTATTTCTCCAAAGAGGCTGCAAAGGCACCTTGTATTTCATCGTTTTGGTCTTCTGTTCCTTGTGTACTTGCACAAACGCGCGGAAATATGTACGGACAGTATTCAGGCCCTTTCATCGGTTATCAGTGCTTATACTTCACACATGACAGCTGTCTGGCACAGCATATTTACGGATCAATCCCATCCCATGGAGGGAGCGTTATCCTTTGTTCAGGCCAAACCAAACAGATAACAGATTCCAGACTACCTTTTGTACAATAATAGTGCCTGTCCGATAGAAACTATATAATTCAAAAAACGTATGTCAGACAGCTTGGCTTGTACGCATCCCAGTGTTCCTTTTCGAGCGAGTACCAGTGCGTAATTCCTTACGCTAAGGAGGGTCAGCCAAGCTTCCGCAGGAGGCGCAACAAGCATCAGCTTCTTCTAGCAACCAGCAAGAAGTATCTTTTCTGTACATTGATATTTGGGCTTGCCTATTTTCCAATGGGGCCGGCCTATCCCGCAAACAAACAGTGTTGACTACCTTGTGCAGCAGTAGCAAAGCTTCAAGGGCAGGGTGTCGAATCTGGCCCTAATCTCTCTGCGGTTTCCCTATCCTCCGTTATCTCATTCACTCGGTTTTATTGCTGCACACGGTTGTGAACGTGCTGCGAGGCGCTGCACGTCGCTGACGAATGCTTCGGCAGACGCAACGGCTTCCCAAGAGTCCGCTGCAAGCCTGGAACGCCGGCACGAAGAAGAGCACGAATCTCCTCGTTGACCCCCTACATCCAACACCCCTGTCACCAGCCCTGCACGAGCCAGTGCGACTCGAAGCACCTCCCGTGGGTCTCTACCAGCACAAGATGCCGCGTGCAGCACAAGCTGAAGCAACCAAAAGACCCGCATACAGAGAAGACACCAGAGCCGTCCCAAAAGGCACAGACCGTTCAGATGTACCGGCGGAGCAGTAGGCCAGGAGACTGTGAGTACGCAGCGGGTTGGTAAAATTGGCTGGAGGCTAAACGAGGCACATCACATCTGAGTAGAAACCTGTGAGCAATTACAGGAGAATCCCGGAAGCCAAATTACAGTCTGTCAAGAGCCGTAAGACAGAAACTGACAAGGAGAGTTCTGGCGTGCGACTCGAAAACTCCAGGGCGTAAGCGCTCCTCTCCTGCAAATGCTTTCTGTGCTGCCTGTAACAGGGCCGCCTTGTGAAGGAGGGAAACTGGAGAAGACCTCAGCAAGACAGAAGTATCCCGCTTATTGTCGCTGGTGCCCTTTGTAATGACTGCAGCGCAAGGATGAAGGACAAACGGGGCGCTTAGGACACTTCGGCGCTTATACTCTTCACTCCTGCCCGTGTTCGGTTTGACAAGAACCCTGCGACATGAATATGGAGCAAGGGAAATTTCAATGACTTCTTAATACTTATGCAGTACGAAGTTTACGGTTTTGTAGTCGGGTGGCGGCCTCAGCGCGTCGCAGAAGGGGCACCATTCGGCCAACAGATGCAACAGAGAAGACCCAACCGGCATCTCTCAGCTCATTTTCGGCTATAAATGGGGATAACGCACTGCAAAACAGCTGCAGACGCGCCAGAAGGATTAGCACAAGACACGTTATACCGGGGGATCGAAGGTACAACCCCGTGCACCTACGATATTGCTGCTCGCTCATGTTGAGCTGTGGTTTGCAGACAGCCTAGGACTCCTTCATGAGTCCAATCATGATCCGTTACACGACTTCACTACGGATGCTCTACTTCATGTTTTATGGGCGGTTGTGAAAACCAACTGCGAACCCTTCGGTCAACTTAGGATCCATGCTGGTGTGTAGCAGATACTGCAGAAATCAGCAGAGCGACATTTACACTTCTTCAACGCTCCTCCACTTTGCGTGGTTTGCATTTTAAATACCACTGAGAAGGTTAGGAATAATGTGAACTAAGAGGGGTTCTCTTAGGTCATACGGAACTATCGCATTCCGGGCAGGCCGCAGCCCCAGTTTCTCCAGGGGTATCACATGACCTCCGCCAACTCGTCCTCAAACATTATGATATTGGACTCTGTTAGTTCATTCCAGCAGGTGTATTCGATTTTCCAAGCTGTCTGGCGCTGCTTGCCGCTACTGCGAGCTTGCGAAACTAACGCGTTCCCTTTCGTGGCTGGCTGTAGACTATGTCCACTGCTGTCATAAGACGATGGCGAACTTGCTGTTCTCTTTTAATGAGTCTAAATAGCCGGCAGGGCGCCGCTGTGGGGCTCCAGCGGCGGATGGTCGCGACTGCAGCTGCCCCCGGAGAGGCCCCTGCTGTCGCGGGTGTTGCAGCACAGGCGTTCCCCTTTCTGACCAAACTGACACCTGCTGAGGCTGCTCAGCCCTTTAGTTTCGGCTCGCTTGCTGCCTCTATGACAGAAGATTGTGCAGAGAAGGTGCGGGTCATCAGATGCATGGACTCATTTGAAGCTGAGGTGTACACGCAGCCGCCGAGGCCTCTCGGGATCTTCTTTGCCGCAACTTTCAACACCCATAACAAACTTCTTCTTGAACAGTTTATCGCCTTGGCCAAGTCCTCCAACTCTAACACTCAATTTCTCGTTGTTGATGTGGATGAGGTCCCCCGCGCTGCCTACCACTGCGGAGTGAGTCGGCCGTACTTCATCTCTTTGCGTGTACCGTTGTCGGTGCACTACTTTTTACATTTCCGGCAACTGAGTCTTACACTTCTGTTTAGAAGTGAAACCTAAGTGTATGCATTGCTGCCTGTGGGTAAACATGCTGTAGTGTTCTTATTGATTTTGACATTACTTGAGCGTAGCAGATAACCTATTTGCGCGTGTATGCTTTTGAATTTGCCAAGAAGATTCACGCAAGAAGGTTTCGTGCATATATGTGTAATATATGTTAGTATGGGAAGGAAAGAAGACAGGAGAAATTCCTTGAGGCCACCATGCACAGCGACTGCATATGCGGCAACCGTGTCGTATGTCACGCGTTGTCTTGGAGAGGAGCACGTGCTTTTTTTTGGGTGTATTTGCAGGTTGAACACCCCTGCACATTTGTAGTTCAATTTAACGGCGATGCCTTCCGCAAACAGATAGCCGACAGTGTCGGCACGAAGACAGTGAGCCAGCGAACCGCTGTTCCCTAAACCAAAGACAGGAACTTTCTCAAAGAAAGGGGGCCTGAGGGGATTAGTTGTAAGACAGCGGCGTATAGCTCACGGACTGCAAATGCATAGAGGGGGAGGGGCAGGGTTGCGTTGGGGAGAAAGGTTAAGACCTTTCGACAGGGGCTGCAAGACGGCTCCAGCTTGTTGTGTTAGAGAGGCGTGAACTGTGCACATGTATGCAGACTTCTCAACTGATTAGCGAATTTCGGACGGCGCTGGATGAATGCCTGAAAGAATTGCAGCAACCAGAGCCACCGCAGCAGCGCGTGGAGTGGTATTCCCACAGCATCCCCGTGGACAACCTGAACGTCTACCGCGTCAACTGGCCCACAGCGTAGACCTTAAACCCCGGAACAGCGATCGACGCAAAGGGCAGCGTGTTTTGATGTGGGGCTATTCTGCACAGCGCGAGTCCACAACACACTCCCCCAGTGTTCGTGTTTTGTTTCTGCGTCCGACGGTTGCGACTTCGAGTGGATGCGAATACACCCGGAGGCCGCTTAACTTATTTGTCCGTTTCGGCTCAGCCGCCTCACGACACAGTCACTACCAGCCGTTCCTAAATTTGTTTTTAAAGAGGGAACTGAAAGGGTCGTGCGGCGATAGTAGCAGAGAATAACCACTGCGGAGGGCAGAGAAAACAAATTTCACTTCTGCAGGACGCCTATAGAGCAGAACGCACGCACGCGTGCGTGCGTGCAAGCAGTGCAAATATGCTCGGTGTTCCGTTAAACTTCATCGACCAGTGATTGCTTTTAGCGTTTCAGCTGGCTTCTGGTGCGCGTTTGCGCGTTCGCCTGTGTTGGATTCATTGCTATCGGCTTCAGTGCTCAGCTGTGCTGCTACTGCGAAGCTGCGCGCCGTTGCTGCCGCTGTGAACCTGTCGTCTGTGTCTGGGAAGAAGGGCTCCTCGAAGGCAGCTAGCAGCACACGCACTTTCTTCGGCCCAATTCCGGGGCACTGCTGCAGCTGTTGCTTCCGAGCCTTGAAGATGTTCCTCATGCATCTGAACTCCTTCGCCAGTGAAACGAAGTCTGCCCGATTCACAGATGGCAGCACCCTCAGCACTTCTGCAGCAGCAGCACATACAAACATGCAGAAAACAGGCTAACTGAATAAAGCAGCAGGTTACACGTCATCAAACCATACACCTCAGATGCTGAAAGGGGATCGGTTCGAAACTTCACACCGGCGGCAATTCCGTACACCGCCTGCGTATTGCCTATTACGCAGAAGCCGTATCCCGGATTTGTAGAGCAGATCCCTGCTGCTAGGGCCGGAAGGAACGACATATTCCACAGTAATTATTATCCTTTCATCTGAACTCAGTTTACTTTGGGGAAATATGAAGGTTTCACGCATATTTACACATTTATGTTGAACCTAAGCAAGACACCAACCTGCACAACGCGGCGCATGCCGGTCGTCCAATGCAGGTTGCAAGCAGTCGGAAGCCCGATTTTCCGAAGCCTTCAGCTGCTGCAGTAGCTCAGCAGCTTCTGCTGGGGAGGCAGCGACGAGAAGAATGAAGCCGTAGTGGAAGGCATGCAGAATGACTTGGGCTGCAACAAGGATGGGACACAAATCACGAGCATGGAGCAACATGAGTTTAAGCCTTCGTACTCCTCCTTCCCCTTCCACATCCCTCCTTCGCCTTTTTGGTGGAGATGAACTCGAAAGGTAGATACTGCCGAGAGGGAAATGGGGAGAGCACATACCCAAAGACGCATCCGCACCCTCCACGTCGTTCAGAAGCAGCAAAAAACGCCGGCAGAACTCCCGCCGTCGCTGCAGCGGCAGCAACCGCTGCACGAGCTGCTTCGGATGCAAGCGATGATACTTCAAACTCAAGAACACAACGCAGGAACCAACCCCAACCAGAAAGTCGGGGGCTATTGGAGCAAAACAGAAGGGAACAGAGGCGAAAAACCTGAACAGAAGGCAGACAAAAAACAATTTAGAGGCGTGCATGAACTACAGCAGCAATAACCAGCATGAGTAACTGCAGTAGGTGCGGATAAATAACTGCTCTTTCTTGACGCGAGTGTGCTGTACACTCAAAAATCTGCTGTGCTAGGCTGCGGAGGCACACAGGAACTGACTTTATAATGGGGTTTGCCTGTTGCCGCAACGAGGCTATGACCATGGAACCAGCCTTCGGGTGTGTAAATGCTAAAGCATGCGGACGCACAGGGGCCACTGACAGCTGCTCCTGTTGCTGCTGCTGCTGCGGCACCTGCTGCGGCACCTGCTGCGGCACCTGCTGCTGCTCATTGTCCTGCTGCTGTTGCTGCTGGTTGTGTTGTTGCTGCTGGTGCAAATGTTGCGAATGGAGCTGCAGAGTGCTTGAATCCACTCCTGCCTTATTGCTGTCTACTGGTTCCTCTTTACGCATTTGGGACGAACGACCGTGTAAGACGACAGCTGAACCAGACAGCCATTATTTTGCTGCATGCACACTAAATATCCGCGGTTTTTCGCTCGTCAAGCGGCTCTTTGAGTTAATAGTTGTTATGATTCATTAAGGCATGTCAGGGGTTCATGTTTTGCTTCACAAAAGCACGAATACAAAAACACCGGAGCAGGAGCTGCTGTGTATGCGCACAGTTGTTGGTTTGAGCTGGAATCAGCAGAAGACCCAGCCAACAGCAGCAATAACAAAATAAAGTTTCTCTTCATCCTAAGCGACTAAATGTTCTGTTCACAAGCGAAATAGTAGTCAAGCCGGTCGCCAACCACTAGTCGGGCCTCACGCGGACTACAGGGAAGCCCCAAGTGCGGTTGAGCCAAGCGTTGCCGTCAACGCCAGCGGAAGGAAAAATGAGTATGAAAAACAGCGTTAGTAAAAGTATAATTCGGAATATTCATATCGAACGAAAATGATAGATCGTCTCTTAAGTAGTGTCAACGGCGCACCCCAAAACCCAGCGTTGTTGCGCAAGTGCAGCAGCCAGCGGCGGTGCGTCGAGGTTCCCAGGCAGAACTGCAGGCTCAGCAATTGCCGGCAGAATTAATTTCTGGACTCGCCTCTTCTGTCTTTCTTTTCCTGTGTTTCTTTGCTATTTCCTGTTCCTCCGTCGCTGCTTCCCGCAATACCTCTGACAATGGTGAGAAGACACGCACAGTCGCGGCGCCTCAGTTCGCTTCAAGTTGCATCGGGGGGAGTTGAAACGAGGCACATTGGCCTCTCAACATAAACCTGAAACAAAACCCTTTAATTGAGCTTGACATATTTCTTTATTTCATTGAAATTTTGCTTCAAAGCGTCCCTACCGTTGCTGCTTTGCCCTAATTTACCGAGAGAAGTGACCTCAAGGCCGCTAGTCTCGTGTTCCAAACAATAAACTTACTGTCCAACCGGTTTCTGTTTTCGTTTCGCCGCAGGAGCTGCCACAAGACATCGCTAAGGAGTTGGCCGCCAATGCCAAGGCCATCGCCTCCCCCGGGAAAGGTATCCTTGCTGCAGACGAATCGACAGGTGCGCCCGCACAAGAGGCACAGTTCTTGGTTGTTTTCCCTGGTAGTTTACTATTGAGATAATCAGCTGTAACTACAACTGGGAGATTTAACGTGATCCTCTGCGGGATTCGAGGGAGGAGGGGGGTGGTGTTGGACCGAGGAATAGGCGGTAGGTGCCTTTTTCTCGTTTCCTTCTAGTGCTGCACGTGTGCGTGCATGGAGCTTAATGAAATTCTACTTGTATGCATTCACCCATGCATACCCATACTCACCTGTAGTGCATTCTGGTTTTCACAGGCACGATTCAAAAGCGTTTTGACAGCATTAAGGTGAAAAACGAAGAGAGCAACCGTGCGGCATACCGGGATTTGCTGTTCTCGACGGAGGGTTTGGGTCAGTACATTTCCGGATGCATTTTGTTTGAGGAGACATTATATCAAAAGAATTCGGCGGGTGTGCCAATGGTGGAGCTGCTAAAGAAGCAGGGCATCATTCCTGGAATAAAGGTGGACAAGGGGCTGGAGACAATCCCACGGACGGACGAGGAGAAGGCGACAATGGGTTTAGATGGTCTAGCGGAGCGCTGCAAGAAGTACTACGAGGCAGGCGCTCGTTTCGCAAAGTGGAGGGCGGTGCTTTCGATCAACCAAGCACAGGGAAAACCGTCGGACCGTTCTATAGCGGAAGTCGCCTACGGCCTCGCGCGCTACGCCGCGATCTGTCAGCAGAACCGCCTTGTGCCTATTGTTGAACCCGAGATTCTCACAGACGGCGCCCATGACATTGCAACCTGTGCACGTGTGACAGAGAAAGTCTTGGCAGCTGTGTTCAAGCAGCTCAGCGATCAAGGGGTGATGCTGGAGGGCGCACTGCTCAAACCCAACATGGTGACCCCGGGCGCAGACTGTCCTGTCAAAGCCAAACCAGAGGAAATTGCCTTCTTCACTGTCCGCGCCCTGGCCCGTACGGTGCCCCCCGCCTTGCCAGGAGTCACCTTTCTTTCGGGGGGGCAGTCGGAAGAAGAAGCTACGATCAACTTGAACGCAATGAACCGCATGGGGCCCCACCCCTGGGCCCTCAGCTTCTCGTACGGACGTGCCCTTCAAGCTTCCACTCTACAGGCTTGGGGAGGAAAGAACGAAAACAAAAGCAAGGCTCAAGAAGTGCTGCTTAAACGCGCAAAAGCAAATAGCGAAGCGCAACTCGGTACATACGCAGGAGACGCAGCAGGAACAGGAGCCGGCAAGTCTCTCTATGAGAAAAACTATGTATACTAGAAACAGTGTTGCAGTAAAGCACCAGAAACCAGCAGCAGCAGTTGCAGCAGCAGCTGCTGCCTAGCTTTGATGTCACGTTAGCCGAGAGCTGTGGGGGGGCGTATGGTTGGGTCGGACGCCGTGTGGTTGCTAATATAATTTGTTCAAATGCAGCGCATTTCTCCTTTTTCCGAGCTTCATTTGTATATTCTCTTTTCCCGTAGACGTTTGTTTTCTGCTGCCGCGTCAATGTTCATGCCTTTCAAGTTTCTTCTGTCTGCTGTCGGGGCGGCAGCTTTCTGAGTTCGTTCTCGTCGACGTCTCTGCTGTTGTTTTTGAGTTTTAATCCATTTCAGCGTTTCTTCGATCTGCATGCCCCAGTGCAGTAGCTCACGTGCTGCTGAGCTGCTGAGGAAACGCACGAAAACAGAAGAGAGGAAAACAGAACTGCAGTTTATTGAATCATGCTAGGAAAAAAATCAGTATAGCTCTACGAGCAACTAAGTACTTTGCGAGAAGGCATACATGCGTTACCCGACGTATACAAAGAATACAGGTGCAACACACAAGAAAGTTTAACACATCTTGTGCAAACGACCATATCAGAAAGGTGGACGCTCATCATTCGACCGGCTCAATCAGAAGATTAAAAAAATAAATCAAGTCAAGATGCCACATAAATTGGAGACATGCAATTCACGTCAGAACCCGTATGGATAAATCAGGGAGAGTATAACACGAGAAATAGTTTATTGCACACACCAAAAATATTAGATTCGCATAAGTAAGAGACTACGGAGAATATACACCTGGACGCATACAAGCAAAGTGTATAAATACGTACTGTGCACTGGCCGATTTAGAGGAGCTAGCAGACAACGTACTTAATGCAATTCTGACAAGAGGAACATACAAATGACAGAGGAACATGAAAAACGAGAAAAGGCGTGACAGGATAACAAACTAGACAGAATAGCAGAAGGCACAAAGGAGAAGAAAGGCAGCAAAACAAAACGCCAAGTGACGCAAGCAAAGTACTACGGGACAAACAAAACAAGAACAAAATAATGCTGCGACAAACTAACACAGGGAAACAAAGGACAAGGATATGTCTGGAGTTGTTTAAGAGTGTTGTGCAGCAGCTTCAACATGCATTCAGTGTTTAGGTAGTTGGCAGTGGGCTTTTGTTTATGTTTTCGAGCTTCCTCGCTTGTTCTTTAAAGGGGAATCGCAACAAAAGTCCATATATATATATATATATATATATATTAT